CTATGATAACAACAACAACAACAAAAAATTATATGGTATAAGCCAGCCTTTTGTTGCCCCATGATTTGATGGCCTTACTCTGCTCTCAAGGATGTATAGACTGGGGCAAAACAGACATCTGGCAAATTCAGATGGAGAAATGAGGAGATGGAAAGCAGCACACCTTCCTTAAGTAGAATCATAGAAATTTTAAGATTGGAAAAGACCACTAATATAATCTAGTCCAGAGGTCAACCCATCACCGTGTAAATTCATGCTAAGAGAAAAGAGAAACAACGAAAGTGAATGCACTCAACTCCCATTGCCACTTTGTCTGCAAATCCAAAAATGAGGCAATCACAAAGCCAAATTCCTTTCTCCACAAACCCAGGGGAATGAACCAGGTGGACTCCTGCTGGGAGGATAGAGCCCATAGTGTAGAAAGAGGCCAATAGAGAAGCTTGAGAACCTGCTACTAGGCAATTACTCACAGCTCTTTATCAGTTCCTAAGCTTTCATGGTCACCACAGCTGACCACAAACATGCACAATGATTTATTGACTTCTTCCTACCCTGAGGGAGATTCAAGGGAAACAGCTGCACCAAACAACATGATTCCTGCAGCAGGGAGGAAGGCAGCTGGTTCTATCCTATGCTTTGAACGCCAATGCTATGCAGAAGCTCAGCCCTATGCTTAGGCATGAAGCAAAGCCCCAAATAACAATTAGAGGTTTGGAGGATGTGTCCACAGAGAGAGATTTACGAACCTCAGCCTACTTAATGCAGCAGAGGTTAAGAAGTAACTTGTTCATGAGTCTATAAATGCCTCTTCAAACAGTAGAGGATGGGCACTAAATGTATTCTTAATCTAGCAGGCAAAGGAAGAAAAACATCTCAGGGCTGAAAAAGTGAAACATCATAAAAAACACCATGAAGCAATTGAGCATTCAAGAGAAAGGAGAGTCTGCACCTGCTGAAAGCAAAGGGAACAGAAAAGCAACGGAAAAGTTTATAACCAAAGGCAGGAAAACCCCCAGCACTTCAAACTAGTTATATGCTGATTCACTGTTGGGTTTTTGTTTGGTTGGTTGGTTGGTTGGTTGTTTTGAGAACTGAGCAGGTCCATTTCAATCTCAGTTTCAACTTCTCTGCTGGAATGAATTGGCAAAATTCTCTGGCTAAGACATGGAACTGATCAGCTTTGTTCATCATAAAAACCCCTCCAGCCCTGGAGCCATCTATTTTACCATTGCACACGATTAACTTTGTTCTGCAGTCCGCATCATCAATCCCTCTGAGAGGTGGGGATGTGCAAAGCAGCAGGACCAGCACTTGATGATTATCTCTCTGGGTTATCACAATGTGACAGCATTGCAGTGGCCTTCCAGGAACAGATTACAATGAGACAGGACTAATTAGACATCCATTAAGTACCTAACTCAGCACAGCACTTAAGCACACATTTAACCTTCTCTCATTACAGTGTCACATCATTGTCCCATTTAAAGCTCCAGCCCTTTTTGCATTAAAACTAGCTTACACCTGGAAGGGCCACCAGGATTTCCAGATTTTCTAGTCCTGTGTTTCAGGAGGTATGCCCATCTGCAGACCCAGAGGGCCTGTATCTCTAACCTGCATGTGAGTGACTCCTAATAATGCCAACTTTCTTTTCCAAAGATTTTACCTCTAAACATTAAGACCCACAAACAATCTCTGTGTTATTCCTACGCTGCGCGAATCAACTAAGAGAGAGTTGATGCTGCCCAAAAATCTTTTCTTCATTAAATTACATGGGCAATAATTGTCCACAAGCATTTCTATATGTGCCAAGTATGAGGGCTGCCCCAAAAATAATGCCTCCTATTTTACTGTGACAACAGAGGTGGATGCTGATGGTATGGCAATAGAGTTGAACCTTCCCATCAGTATTCTGACATGGAAATGCATATAAAGCAAACGTGTGGAACTGAATTCCTCTGCAAAAAAAAAAAAAAAAAAAAAAAAGAAATTGCACCTACTGACATTCAACGATGCTTGCTGAATGTTTATGGAGACCAAACAGTGGGTATCAGCACAGTGAGGTGGTGGGTGGTGCATTTCAGAAGTGGAGACAGAGACACTGGGTCACCTCTGCTGGTACGAATTCTTACTAGTGCATCATTTGTTCATCACTTGTGAAAATGCATAACTAATGGTGTCTGTTAAAAAAATGTTGTTTTGTAGCTGACAATTTGCCCTATCAAAGAGTGGTGTTGTGCTATTTGTTGTAGGTTGCATAGAAATAAATAGCAGGCATTGCTTTCAGAGAAATCTACCTGTAAACGCAATGGCCAGGGTCAGCCATAAACTCCATGCTCACTCCCTATCCATGGTTAGAAGATCTGTGACTTGCTTAATTGCAGAAACTGCATCTCCCAGCTCTGCTCTTTGGCCACTAAAACCAATGTCCAGCCTAATTGATCTATTCTTGAACTGCTCTTGAGAATCTCCTAGTCCAACACACAGCCTGTATTCTCTGTTCTTTGTTATACAGATGTCCCAGGATGAGGAATATGCATTTTCAAAAGGAATCTCATCCCAAATACTCTGTGAGCCAAAGTGCAGTCGCTTCTGAGACAGTGTTTTACTGTATCCTTTGCAAATTTGCACCCATTTGCTTTGGAAAGATCCCAGGTACAGAACAGGCACACCGGGGAAAAACAGGCTCCATGTTTTATGGTGTCTGGGTATTTGGCAATTCCATACATGCTTTGAAAATCATCAGACAAGGGTAGTGCAATAGAGACATACACCCTTGTTCTAAGACAAAAGTGTCAAGACAGGTTCCAAAACAACAAATGACTCAGGAAACAGCAGCAAAAAATATTGTTTAAAAAAAAAGAAAAAGAATGTTGTAAATACAATCAGGACAACAATAACAGCAATAATCAGCAGCAGTACTCAGAAACCAGGAACCCTGTCAAAATATTCCACCCACAAAATGCTGCTCAGGGATCGCTGGCTCTCTGTCCAAATTGGATCTCGCCTCCATCCTCCTGATCAAGCCTTTGCAAAAATCAAACCAGACACAGTGACAGACAGAGCAGCACACAGAGAGGCCAGGCGCCCTGCAAGCTTCGTTTCCATGTAGATGACATCCCACCAGCGACAATGCTAATTCTGTGCCTTCAATACATAACAGATGTGAGCAGCCAGCAAAAAAAAATTAAAAAAAAATAAAAAACTATCTATGCTCTCTACAAATATTCAGCGCACAAAAAGGATTTGGATATATCCACCTTTGAGCCTCTTTCATATTTATTTTCTAGGGACATTCAAGCACTCAAGCTGGACTAGGAGAGATCTTTACAAAAGCCAATATTAAGCTTGACTGCTTCGGGATTTTCTGGAAATCTTTTTTCAAATTTCACCTTTGGTTGCAATGGAAAAGGTCGTGTTGCTCGGGTTGAATGCAAAAAAACCCACCCCATTGGCACATGCGAAGGCTGACGCATGACTTAATGGAGCTCACATCACTCCGAGGAGGCAGCCAACGTGGTGGTACTCCTCGCGAGCTGTTCACACAGGAGAAAAGGGCACTGCAAAGAAATCTGAGATCCAGGGAGTGAATACTGCGGTGTGCTCATAGCCAGAGTGAGAGGCACAGCTGAAGAACTCATTTGTAGGATTTATGGCTCGGCTGTGTGCCTCCACGTATCGATTCGCAGAGCAGTGAGAAACAAAATCTCCTCAAAATACACTGACGGAAGCACTAATACCTGATCATATCCTAATCTCTCAGCTAACTCTGGGCTGCGATCTGCAAGAAAATCACACCGCAAAGCTTGGACCCATGCCTGATAACCCCCTGCCTACTGCAAGTAAATTTAGCCTCTTTCCACCTGCAGAACTGCACAGAAATTCTCCCAGCTGGGGATGGCTGCAAAATCCAGGCAGGACCTGCAAAGCCCTGTTCCATCTGGATGCCAGCTTTCTGCAAGTGACAGAGGACATTCTGGTCTGAGACCTGAAGGAGGTAAAACCCTGAGGTGTTGTTGAGGTGCAGATTTGAACATCGAAGAATTGGAAAATGCCCTCCCTGTTTCCCATACTCCCTTTTAGCATCATGCCCCTGCTTTACATAAGCTGCCTGCTGGCAGGTGGGATGGGAGCAGAGAAGAAACACAGCAGAGCGGATATGACACAGGCACCAATATAGCAGCTCTGCTTTATGACCATCCAGTTCCCTTCTGCTTTGCATGGCACTTACCACCCATGGAAATCACTGCGAGGAGCATTTCCCTGCTCTGAACACTGCCAAATGTCTCAGCAGCTGCAACACAGCAATATCAAATCTCAGAAGCACCTCATCCTTATTCTCAACCCTTTTTCATGACCCTTCCCAATCCTTTTCATGGTCTCTGTCATACTCAACATCACAAGGAGAACAAAACACTGACAAAATACCTGAGGAATGGACCCAAGCAAAGGCACTGAATGGCCCCATGCAAGCAGTGTGGTTGAGCTTTCTTGTTGAAAACCTCCAGAACGAAAATAAAGCTGTGAATCTGAGAACAACACAAACATGCCTGCTGCTGCCACTCACCCAAACCTAACTTGGAAATCAAGTTTTCCCATTAATTTAAATAGTCCACAGGGCTGCTGTGTGTTGTCCACCTTGGAAGGTCACCTGATTCTGCCTCTTCTAGGACACTTCTAATTGCACTGGGAATCTGCTTGGCCTCAGACTAGACTTACCCTTCTCCACTCTGAGGATGCAGAAGTAAAACACTTCTCTCGAGGAATGAGCCCTGAGAAGGAATGGAATTATCTGGGGCACATTTAGGGTTAACAGCTCATGAAGAGCCACCTTATGATCTGCTACATCTTCCTATAAACTAGCAAAGAAGTTTTCCATAGCAGGTATCTACAGGACCAAATAGACACATGGTAGAAACAGTATGAGATACAGAGGGGAGAACCCAACCAACCTTTCCTCCCCAACCACTCCCATCTGCCCTTCACTCACCCAGGAACTCCACTCCACTGCTGTCCTTGGGGCTGCTCAGGCAATTCTCTAAGTAAATTCCATCCTTATAACAATCTTCCTTCTTCTTCGGGAACCCCAGGATCTCACTGGCTTGATCTAGGATCTCCCCTCCTGAGCAAGAGCACGGAGTCTGCATAATGCCACATGGGTGGGAGCTGCTGCTGATGGCCAAGCACGCATCCAGCCACTTGCAGAGCATCTGGCATGCAGCTTTGCTAGGATTCCTGTTGCCCACCACGAGGTATTCCACCGAGAAGTCTCTCTCCTGAGCCTTGATGGGTTTCCACCGCACTGGTCCGTTCTCTACTCCTGGAGGTGCAGTCTGCTTCATCTGGAGGAACTGTTTGTTAGACTGGAGAAAAGCATAGCGGGTCGACCCATCACAGAGCTTCAACACGTCGTCAAAGCTCTCCATGCCCAGGTAGGTGCGGGTGGATTCCAGGAAGGAGTCAAATTGGTAGGTGCGGATGTGCTGGTGGTCACATATGCCAGTAGGTTTGAGGATCTTCATGTACAAGGTGTATCTCCGAGGGTCAGGGTTCTGGATAATCCAAGAGCAGAGTGAGGAGTTCAATGGGAAGACGGCAAAGGAGGAGAAATATCCAAAGAATTTCCCCTGGACCAAAGTGGTGCAGGGAGTTTGTGCCAGGTCCAGAGCGACCACGGTCCACACAAAGTAGAGTGGCAATACCAAAAGCAGGTTCAGGGCAGATCCAATGCTCCTCATCCTAGGTCTCTGGTCCTCTGGAACTCAAAGTAAATGTCAAGCAGGTGCCAGATCCTGGACATAACAGGGACCAGCTTAGAGGAAAAGTGAGAGTTTAAGTGGCTCTGGATCAGAAATCAAGCCAATCCTCCCATGTCTGGATTTGAGCTCCCTCCTGTGGCCATCAACAACACCTGGAAAAAAAAAAAAAGAAAAAAAGGGGAAGGAAGGAAAGGAGGAGGGGAGAGAAAAAGAAGAGATTTGGGATTTGTTCTTAATTTTTTTTTTAATTAACCCTTTGCAAGGTCGACAATCCAGGCAGCATCCCTGATCCCAGTGCTGGTGGAGGTTCAGCCCTGTGCCACCATGAGGTTTGGAGATGTCCCCATCTGTTAAATGTCCCAGCCTGATGTGTCTCCACATCAGGACAGTGTGACCCATAGTGGAGGACAACACAACTTTTCTAGTTCCCCCCTTTTCTAATTCCCTCTGCCTATGCATTGCCCATGCTGAGCTGAGAAAAGCCTTTGTAGTGGTTTCTAAACCTCCCCCCCAAGAAAGGAGATGAGGACTGGGAGCCATGCACTTAGCGTAGGAGAGATGAAGGGGTCTGGAGATGGATTTCAGCTCTTTACATAAAAGGCAGTCACCCTAGCTTGCACCCACCCCTGTGTGAAGGTTTCCTCTACCAAACTCAGACTGCTTCTATGGTCTTAAAACGAACCCACAAGGCAAGCACTCAGATCCTCTGCATAAGTGTAAACAACCCAGCTTCTCAGCAACTAACATTGGGATGCAAACCAAAAATAACTCAGGCCCTCTGAGATGTGCATCTTACTGATCAAAGACCAAACTGGTATGGTCAGGAAGGAATTAGGGTGAAAGACGTGCTCAGGATGTGGAAAAGGGCATTGAGTACAAGGGGGCATGTAGGCATATACCTTCTCCCATCACAGCCAGCAGTTTTGATCCTCTTTACATTCCCATCATGTCCACATCGCCACCCATAACCCTACCCTCTCCCACCTCGTTCCTGGGTTCCCTGATTATATGTACCAAAGTTTTATCTCTGCATTGATTCTCTTCTGTAAAAGCTTTTTTTTTTTTTTTTTTTTTTTTTTTTTTTCTGGGAAAGAAAGGGTTAGATAACTGTAAAGCCAGTTCCACTCTTTGCAAACTGGGTTTCAGCTGAACTTCAAATCACTGCAGCCTCTGCCAGCAGATTCCTGAGTGTCTTTTAGACCTGACACTAATCAACGTGGAGTCCAAATGCGTTTCCACTTAAATTTTTAAGAAGTCACATCCCTGCTCCCATCAGTGCTTTGCAGCCTGCAGAACTCTGCAGTGCACATCTCCCCGTGCCAGCATTGGAGGCTGGATTTCAGGAACAGCAGCCTGCTCAGTGGATGTACAAAGTAGCTCATGGTTGCAAAGAAAACCACAGGCATCAAGCAAACATCCTATAAATTTCCAGAAAGGTCATCATGATTAGCAGGAGGGGTTGCCTGCAGATGACTGTGAATGCCTTAAATATCAGCTTTGGTGAGCAAAGCATGCTTGCCTACTGAAAAGGAACAAAGAGGAGGGGACCTCCTCTTCTTCGCTCCTTTGCTTTAGGGCAGCTCCTGAGCATTTAATGCTGTTTGGTAGTGGGTGCATAGATTAAATCTATCTGACCTTCACACCCATAAGCTAGCCAGAATCATTCTAACCTCTGGTCCAGCTCATGAAGAAACCTGCAGGAGCCAGCATGTGCCTCCATAGCAACCAGATGATAAGATAGGGCTGAGTGCTGATGGCTTGTGCCAAAATCCAGTCCCTGATGGTGACTTCAGCATGTGGGATTCATCCTGCCTTCCATCAACTCAATTTTTCTTCTGCCAGCCACAACTCTGTTACTGAATGAAGACACAGAAAGCATAAAATGCACCCCCCTCTTGCCCGTTTTTGGGAAAAATGCTGTAAAGGTCAACAAACTTTAACTAAACAGACCCGTTAATGGGACACTGTGTTATGGTTGTTAAGCCTCAGAATTTATTTCCCCTGAATACAGCCCCATCTGGAAGATTTCACCATAAGGAACATAAACATATTTTTTCTCCGTCAGTTGACTTACTGAAGTAGGGATCTTTTCTTAAAGCAGAAGTGAGTAAGCAACCCTTCCCCTCCATGCCAGTATCTCTGGCACAATACATATGGGGAATAAGTGATGGGCAGTGGTTTGGATGCTGCATTTTAGCAAAGAGATCAATCTTCTATGCTTTAATCCAGCAAAATCCCAGCAGGGAGGTACAAAAGTGTCTGTCGTCTCCATGTGAGGAGTTGATATAAACAGCATGAAAAGACAGGTTATCCCACTGTTGAAGATCACAGATCAATGGCACATAGGTCAACTGGCCTATAATCCCATGGTAGTTGTCACAGGTAATATCTAATTAGCTTGGATCTCTCTTGGAGAGAGATCCATGCCTTGTCCTGTTCCTTAGCTCTAGCCTGTACAACATGTCAACCATATTCCAGTGAGAGAAGAGTCTAGCAGATACTTTGCTGAAGAAAGGCTTGAGGACAGCAGGTTACTATGAAATTTCATGGACCATCCCTTGCCTGTATTTCACAAGGACAAACCAAAGGGCAAAAAATATGTGCCTGGTGAAAGACAACTTTTCATCCCAAACAGCCATAGAAAACCAGCCATAGAAAAATAGACCCTGCCGTCTTCATTTCTTTGTGTATGTATTAGAGATGGTCAAACGAAGGCTTAAAAATGCTCCATGCACCTTCACATCATAGCCAGCAACCAGTGTAGCCTTTTCGCACTTCCTCTTGCTGAGCATTTGCCACCCCACCCTGGCACACACTGAACCAAGAACAGTCAGAAATACAGCAGCACATAGGTCTTTGAAACTTAGACAAACCCAGGCAAAGACTGTATCATGTATTTCACATAGGACCTGGACTGCTCTAGGGATCTTCAGCAGTCCCTGGAAGTTTTTTGCCAGCCTCGATGAGCAGTTTGGTCGTGCCCCTCAGTGTCCCACAGCAGTGGTGAATCTGGGGCTAAGGCTGCAGATTCCCTCCACTCTCACATCCCTTTCTTTCTGCATACATCTGCGTGCCATATCTGGCCTGGAGAGATCACCCAGAGAGGCTGTGGATCTTCAAAAGCCATCTGGACATGGTCCTGGGCTGAAAGTATTCCTGTTTGAACAGGGGTTGGACCCCATAGGCCCAGAGGTCCCTTCCAACCTCAGCCATTCTGTGATCCTGTAACTGTATGGGATAAGTGTGAGCAGGGAGGCACTGGGGCTTGCCCTGACTCTGCTTACACCTCTTTTTCCTGCCATCCTGCATAGTCCTTCATAACAGTTCACTCCATCCCATCAAGACCAGGTTGTCCAAGGAGGTTGTGGATGCCACATCCCTGGATGCATTCAAGGCCAGGTTGGATGTGGCTTTGGGCAGCCTGATCTAGTGGTTGGCACATAGCAGGGGGGTTGAAACTAGATGATCTTTGAAGTCCTTTTCAACCCAGGCCATTCTATGATTCTATGACCTCACAGATGAAGATCTTCACATTGCCATGCCCAGCTTTTCAGCTGTGCCCAAGAACAGTGATCTCAGCTCTGCACAGGCAGGAGAAGACTATCAAGCACATGAAAACTGAAGTGTTCTCTGCTTTGCAGGCTCTGTGAGTTGCCCAGTGGGGTAACAGACACCTTTCTCATTGTTGCTGGTGACAGGGGACTTTCAGTGCATTAGTCTGGATTTGGCCAATGGAGGGCACTGTTAGACATGCACACACGCACACACACACTCCATATAAAAAAAAAATAAAGAAATAAAATTAAAAATGGGAAAAATAGTAAAGAAATGACTGCTGAGAAGGCATTCTTCTCTACCACTGCCCATAGAACCTCTCCAAACACCCTGATCAGCCATATACCAACTACTCTCTCTCTGCCCATGTGCTCATATGTGCAGTCGTCCAAGATTTGCCTCCCTCTGCTTTTCTTTCTCCTGACCTTGCTACACACTGCTGACATCCCAGCAGGGTGAAAGCTACTGTCATCAAGCTAATCCTCCGTTCCTGGGGCTTCCCATAAAAAAAAATCCCTCAATATCAAACAAAATATCCCTTTTGCCAGAGGCGGAAAGCTGCCTGGCCCTGCAAAGCTCAGTCCCTTGTTACTGTGAGAAAACATGGGATATGAATACACTCTGTCCTTGCTCACTGCTAACAGAAGAAAAAAAAAAAATGCTGCAACCATTTGGAATTTTTCTTCTTGCTACCAAGGCAAATGAGCAAAGCACGGTGGAAGTGCCTGGAGAAATAATGCAGCATCTGTCACTCCGACAGCACACGGAGAAATCAAGGAGGGCTCAGCCCCGACTGCTCTTCCCAGCACCCAGAGAGGAATGGGGCTTGGAGCATCCTTTCTAGTGCTTAGAATCATACTTCTTCCTTATTTTTAATGATCTGTTTTCCTTTTCTTCTGTCTTCTACAAGGAGTTCCTTTACTCTCACCATTTCCAAAAAGAATTTATGCAGACTTTTTGGCAAAGCAGAAACCAAAGTGGAAATCAGTACCTAAAGAAGGGAAAAAGATGGGTTGGTGGGCTTTTCAGGGAAATCCCTTATGTTTCAATCTGCCCCTCCAGAGGGATTTCAGGGACACATTGTGAAAAGGATGTTAAACCAACACCATTCCCTTGTGGAAGGAACTTCTGCAGCTGCATGGGTCAGGATTTGACCCAAATCCTAAGAGCTAGGCATGGACAAAACCCTTCTGGGAAGCAGGCAAGGGTCAGATCAACAGGAGTCCACCCCTGTTCCTCTGCTGCTGTTTTGTACTTCTGCAGGGATCCCTAATGACATTTGCTATACCAGTGCAGAGACCAACATAGTGCCCATTGCCTCCAATCCATCTCAGTCTCCTGAGTGTAGGTTCTCATCTCCCAGCTCTACTAATAAATCATGCTTGTGCACACCAAGCATTCTTCATCCCAATTACCCCCAAATCCATCCTGGAAA